TTTACTTAAGATATATCAAAGGATTCTGCCTTTTTCTTGTCAGAAAGAAAGAAAAAGCTGTTTTCCTTTTCAGAAATCACTTAAAGTGGTTTTCCCATTATATAAGAATTTGCTCAGTTTAAAACTACTGCAGCAAGGCTGAAGATTCTCTGCAGGGGTAGCATGTTTAACAGGTTTGAGGCCCCAGACAGCAGCCCTCTCTCCTTTACAAAAAGGCATAGGTAAAGCAATCCCTAACCTACCCGAGTGTAGCCGATTGTATGATGACCAATTCAGAATGTGAGTGAGTGGCCAAGGAAAGGAGGAGCCACCGCTGCACATCACCCCATGGTGGGAGCACCTCCCTGGGAGGTTGGGCACCAGTGTCAGTGCTCTGGGTAACAGCAAAGTGAGACTTCTGTTCACCTTTTCAAGCAAAAATAGATAGAAATAGAATATTTTCTTTCTACACCCCAGTAGATCATTTTATGTACCTCTGCAGTTGTATGTGCCCTATCCAACTTTCCAGAATATTGTTTTAGACGTAATGTCTCTGTGGGATTACCTGATTTATTTTTGATCACACAAATCAGTTAACAAGTAGTAATCAGAATTGTGCCTCTACTACCTTGCCTAGAAAACTCTAGTTTAAAGTCATCAGCAAACCATCTTACCATAAAGAGAAGCAGGAAGCTTAGAATAAGTGCTGTCATCCTTCTCTGACCTGCTTGTCCCCTCCTCCCTCCTCAGCCCACCCGCCCCTCCCACTTTGTACCACAGAAAGCCCTGAAAAACAAGAGTTACTGCGTAAGAACAAAGCTACAGGGCTATGACAGTTCCTGATCTCGTAATATAGCAAGTTCCTGTAGTGTTACATGAAAATGGACACATAGACAATGAAACAGATTAGAGAGCTTGGAAGTAAACCTACATGCTATGAATGTGTAGTCATCTGTACTCACACAGTGGTGCAAAGAATACACGCTCTTCAAGAAATGGTGTTAAGAAAACTGGGTTTCTACATGTAAAATAATGAAGCTAAACTCTGACCTCTCATTATGCACACACATCAAAAAAAAAAAAACCTTAAAAAAGTACTAAAGCCTTAAATGTAAAGGCTAAAACAGTAAGCTTAGAATACATAGGCTAGCTGGGCAGTGGTGGTGCACACCTTTAATCCTAGCACTTGGGAGGCAGAGGCAGGCGGATTTCTGAGTTCAAGCCCAGCCTGGTCTATAGAGTGAGTTCCAGGACAGCCAGGGCTACACAGAGAAACCCTGTCTCAAAAACAAAAAACAACAAAAAAGAATACATAGGATAAATAAGCCCATAGACCTTCGTCTTAGCAATGATTTGTGGTGTCAACACCAGAAGAACGTACAACAAAGGCAAGATAAGCTAGGTGAGAACTCATGAACCTGAAAACCTGTGAGCGCAGGAGACTAAGCACCCCTGTGCCATAGGAAGCTGTTTACAGAGTCAGAATCTAAAATGTATATATAGGGAACTTTTTTGTTTTGCTTTTGATGTAGTGTCTTGCTTTGTAGCTCAGGCTCGTCTTGAACTCATTATGTATCCCAAGCTAGTCTTCAGCTGATAACCCCTGCTTTAGCCTCCTGAGTGCTAACCAGCACAGGCCTGTTAACAGCCAAGAAAAAAGAAAGAGGGAAAGGAGGAGAGAGGGGAGAAGGTAAGAAGGAAGGACAAAGGATCTGAATAGACAGTTCTCCAAAGAAGATGTGCATATGAAGACATGTTTAGCATTACTGATCTGTAAAATGCAAATCAAAACCTTAAGATTCACCTCACATCTGTTATAGTGGCTGCTTAAAGAACACCACAAAGCTAGGATGTAGGGAAAGGAGAATCTTTGTACACTGGCAGCAATGTAAAATAATATAGCCATTGTGCGAAACAATAATGGAAGTTCTTTTAAAAATTGAAACTAGACATGCCACTTGGATATACATCCAAAAGCAATAAAAATCAGTGCCCAAAGAGATACCTGCTTACTCATGGTCATCATATTTACTAGTCATCGTGTCAGGAACATGAAGACTGCCTAAATGCCTGTCAACGGACAGATAGATAAGGGAAATATAGAGAGAGGAGAGAGTTAGAGACAGGGTAGGGTAGGGTAGGGAGATGATTGAAATCTCTATCAACAGATAAGCAGAGAAAATGTGGGAAGTGTATGCATGTAGTAGAACATCATTCCACCTTTATCAAGAAGGAAATCCTAAAATTCTCAAGAATGCATGTAGACATAGAAGACACCAGCAAGTTAAATGAACCAGGGACATGCATGATCCCCTTTTAATAAGGAATCTAAACTATACTCTGAGACACTCAGAGGGTGAGGTCCTATGCAAGTGGTGCCTTGCATAGGGAGGAGGGAACGGCGTGGGAGTGGTATCATCAGTTAAGATATACAAAGTTTGTAGTTCTGACTTGTAGTGTTGCTGTACAGCACAGTCTACCGTCAGCAATACTGTAGTATATATTTAACTCTTGGCAAAAAGGCTAGATCTTAGGGTGCTCTTCCCACAAAAGAAAAAAAATAAGCCTTTTTTTTTTCTTTTTTCTGAAAGAGATCAGGAGAATCCTTTGAAGATTTTGAGATTTGGCTAGCTTTCTTTTCAGGCTTGAAAATACACATGTAAGCCTCAGATAGGAAGGAAGTCTGTGTGACTGTAAGGTTCATTACTTGCTGCTGATCAGTGCAGGCCGCTAGTCTAGTGTGTGCCTCACTGTCACTTTGTGTTTGTTGAGTTCAGCAGTTGATGGAAGACTAGATCTAAGGTTGTCTTCCCCTCCCCACAGCTGGTAAGCCTTCTGCATATCAGGAGGGGGCCAGGAGTGTGAGCTGGAGTATGTCATGGCACAGTGATTAATGGTCTCTAGGAACTGAAAAGGGGAGTAATATACACAGCATTTCTACCCCCGGGAGTAGGAATGCAAACACCATTGTGCAAACCTGTGCATCATCACTGACTTCCTGGAAGCTGGAGAATCTCATGCACTCTTCTACCACAAATAAAACTGTCAAAGAAATGACAGAGCTCAAAAGGCTGACCTTCCTGCTTAAAAAGAATAGCTAGAACACAGCGAGCCAGAAAATTAATTTTGTAACTGTTTGAGAACTGAGTTCAATAGGTAATGAGAAGAAAAGCCTTAAACATCCAAATATTTGTTGATTCCAGCCCTACATTTGGCTTCTTAAATACGCTAAATTCCTAAAAATTCCTTCTTGAAGTGAATGTAAAGAAGAAACACCCCTTTGTAATGGCATGACTGTCTCAACCTCTTCAGTCTGGTCTGAGATAGATTCAGAGGATCACACTGCTGATGGTTTCCAGAGATGGCTTGTGTTTAGCGGGGGAAATCCTAGCATTTTGATATGGCTTGTACCGGTTTAGAGAGTGATTCTTTGGTAAAGTTCTTCTTCTCTCTTCTCCCCAGTGACTTTGTAGTTTCTAATAATAATCATTTCCAAGTGCTTAAGTGAGAAGCCAGCCATTTTAAACTATAAACTAGGTACTATGGAAGCTCGCAAGAAAAAAAAAAATCTAGGTTGTGTGAAAAGTAGTGACTTTAAGTGCCTTTGAGAGTCACAAATGACAGGACAGAGAGTGTGGCGCTGACAGCAGCTTCACTGAAGGACGACAGTGACTTATGCTTTACCAGAAACCATTTGTTCATAAGAACAGTTCACTTGTTTCTTAGCCCACAGCTCATACTACTTTTTATTCCCACTCAGGTTCTGCACTGTCTAATTTGTAACGGATTTTCAAAAATGATTTTTTAGTTTTCCATAATAGAAAAAAGATAAAATATTGATTCATGGAAAATAAAGCCATGCTTCAAAAGGAGGGAAAAGAAAGGAAAGAAAGGAAGAAAAAAAAACCTCTGTATTATTTTTCTATTTGTTTTATTTTTTAGAATGTCACTATAAATTACATTTTAAATTGCTGTGATCTGAAGTAAGAAAGCATTGGATGGATTAAGCCCTGACTTTGGTTTCCAAGAGGTTATACTTTTAAACTGTACTTGCAAGGGTTTATTTTTAGTCAGGATGTGGTTATTTTTAGACGCGCTTCTGTGTCACTAGGAAATGTAATGCCTGTCTTTCCATTGTTGTTTACCAGGAAGTCCTGGGCTACAGGCTATTAAGAGCCAGCTCACATAGGAGCACTGCCTCTCCTGGCAGATAAAACTATAAAACAGTGTGTGGAGTTTTATAAAACTATAAAACGCGTGCTTTGAAAATATACCTCAGTCTGAATCTCTACTACCATTTATCCTCTTGTATACTGAGCACCAAGACACGGTTTTTAGAGAATGCCAAAGATACAAGGTTTAGGTTCCCCCTGCTGGTGTGCATCCCAGGCTCCTGTACAGTCCTTAGGAAATCAAAAGGCCTGGGACAGAGCTGAGATAGCAGTGTGAGACCCAATGGTGAGAGAAGAAAAGGGATTCTGTACTGTTCCATGAAACTGTCCTATAAAAAAAATTGGATGATTTAAAAATTGTATTTTGTACATCAGAAAAAACCCGAGTCCTGATACTCTAGTGTTTCTCTTTAATGTTGTTGCCTGTGACAAGCTGCTTGTACACATTGCTTCTAAGTGCTTGATGCTGTAATCTAAGGACTAATAAACACACTGGATCCACAAAAGCAGTTCATGCCCCTGACGAAAACACAGAGCTGGCATTGTCACAGTAAATTAAAGAGCTGGCATTACAGCTGGCTGACTCCTGTTCCAGTGTCTCAGAAGGTGACTTGGCATCCTGTGATTGTGTCTGTCTGTTTACCATTGCTTCTTTTTAATTTGTCATGTGTATGGTTGAGACAGGTCTTTATTTTCTCTTAGTAACTGCCAAGTCATATTAATGGCTCTTTTTGAAAAAGAAAAATTTTAATTGACTCCTAAAAATCACATCTGAACTTTGTATTATGTTTGCGTTTTAAAAGCCTATTCACTCAAATTAAAATATTGTATTTTCAAATTGCCTTTCAGTAATGCCGTCAACCTTTTAAGCAATGTTCCAGTCTCTTGTTTGGATGTTCTCATTTGTCCATTAACCCATGAAGAAACAGCCCAAGAGGCAGCAACTCTAGATGAACTGCCCAGTGATAAAACAACGGAGAAAGACACAGCTTTGAAAAGCAGCACCATGGTATACAATGGCATGAATATGGAGGCCATTCACGTTCTACTCAGTTTTATGGAGAAGAGAATTGATAAGGTAAGGCTGCTGGAGTGGGAGGCGCACATAAGCCCTGTGCCCTGCATAGAGAGATGGCGCCGCGGCGAGAGCCCACCCACAGCCGCACTGCCCACAGCTGCACTTGCCCTTTGTACTTGGCATGTTAGATAGGTCTGCTTCTAGAGAACTTTACCATGATAATGACAAACTGGGAGAAACCAAGGGAATTTATGTAATGTATTTTTACACCAAATTTATAGCTAATGTTTGAAAGTAAAGGAAAAATTAGCTGCCCTGCATAGCTGCTTTGTAAATGTCGGAAGTAAAAGCTAACCTCTCCACAGAGATATGTTCAAAAGTGTTTTGTCTTCAAATTTCTCTAGTCTGACACTCAGTTTCTTCTGTAAATGTGTTGAAAGGCAGCAGTATCACATAGATGGGTCTCATAATCCTTTGTTTCTTTGAAGCACATTGACTGGGCTTGTGTAAACCCTAGAAAAAATGTAGGAAAAAGCAGGAAAGAGAACTACATAGTAAAATGAAGATAACTTATGGAAATATTACTTAAAGCAACTTTAAAATCGTTTGTAAGCGTTGGTATCAAAGGCTGTATGTATCCTCCCCGTCCCTTCCCTCAAGAAAGTCTTGGTATTCTCAGGTTGCATGGAGGAGAGCCCCAGCTTAGGAACGGAACTAATATGGCATGCATGGTTTTCTTTATAGGGAAGCAGCTATAGAGAGGGTCTAACGCCAGTTCTCAGCTTATTAACAGAATGTTCCCGAGCCCATCGAAACATCCGGAAGTTTCTCAAAGATCAGGTAATTGCTTATGTCTTAAAGTTAAAATTTTGTATATATGTTGTTAACATAGAACTAATAAATTCTCATGATAGTTTTCTTTCAGAAGATCAGAAACCTTCCAAACAGAAATAAATGATCTTGTGTACGTTGTTATTCATTCATTTAACCAGCAATTGTTTACTAAGGCCTCTGTGCTGTTTGCTAAGCGTTACTCTGAGTACTCAACACTGTGAGCTTGTTACTCTTGTACAACAGGCTTTACCTTATAGGAGAGGATAAAAAGAATAACTGTGTAACTTAGCACATTGTAAGTGTCCTAAAGAGAACAGAGGAGCAGAAAGGAGAGTTGTGACACAGGAGCGCCTCTTTGCATAGGTGACAGTGAGCAGGGAGTTGGGTAAATAGCAAGTGTCTCTGAGAATGTTGAAGAGGATCTATCAGAGGGAAGATGGTTAGAGTCCTCAGACGAAGGAAACAAGGCAGCCGGTGTGACTAGACCAAAGACAGATGGCAGGGGCTGTCAGTGTGGCAGTAAACGAGTCAACAGTGCCAATGACAAGTGTGGATTCTCTCAGAATAAGATGAGAAAGCACTGGAATGTTTTGGGGGCTTTCATAGGAGGACCTCATGTGCATTGAGAAGACTTGAGATGCTGTGTGTGAGAGGAGACTGGGGGATGAGTGGGTGGCTACCACACCACATAGTGAGAGCACTCCTGGGAACCGAAGAAGGAATAGTAGGTGTGGCAATGGCCAGAGTTCATCCTTCGAGCTTTCTTGAAAGTGTGGCTCACATAACACACTGACAGATTGGGGCATAGGCTGAGAAGAAACAGTAAGCTCTGAGCCACTCAACACTCATCAGAAACTCAAGACTGGAACAGTACCAGGCTCCGAACAATTTCAGCCTCACACGTCTTCTCGGGCTCCTTACTCAGTGCTTTCAGGCGACCTCATCCTGTCCCATGGAGAATGTGCTGTTCTCTTTGCTCCTCTGTGCCTTTCCTTCTCTCACACCTAGACAAGCTCACATGTAGTTCATAGCTGTAGTCACTCCTTTCTAGACAGCGTTAACTGCACTCAACAACATGGTTGAATCAGCATTCTACCTACCGTGGGCTGCTACTGAACACGCAAACTGACTAGACTTTAGCTTTAAGACCACCAATACCAGGCAGCTTCCCAGAACATTCCAATACATTTTAGGGCTCTTTTTCTTTTTTCCAAAAGGAAACAGAGTCCCATGTAGCCCACACTGTCCTCTAACTCACTATGTACCTGAGGATGGCCTTCAACTCCTGATCCTCATGCCACCACCTCTGAAGTGTTAGGGTTCTGTGTGTGTATCACGACACCAAATTTATGCAGTGCTGGAGACCATCCCAGCACGTGGTGCATGCTAGGCAAGCCTTCTGTTGTGACAGAGGTGCAAATGTGCCTGCCCTCTGGTAGCATTTGGTGTAAGTTCCCACCTCCATGAAACTCTTACTTAATTTGGATCTTGAGACACAGAAGAGACCTCTGCTGGTCATCTTCCCAGTCCTAAATGTTTGCATGCCTAAGACTAGTGTGTCTTGTGTCTACCTCTTTCCTCCCTTGTTGGTTTGTTGATCACATCCTGATGTAGTGATTTTGAAAACATCTATATACTGATGATTCCCAGATATATATGCTCAAATACAACCTGAGCCATCCTCAGATCCCTGGACATTTATGATGAACTGCTCATTTTGACTATTGGATGTGTAGTGGTTTTCCTTTAGCATAGCCCAAATTAATACCATAACTTTCCATCCTCCTTTCCCATTTCTTCCTCTTAATTCTACTGTGCCATTACTAACACAACCCTTTACTTCGCTGGCCATTTATAAATTAATCAGGGTCATTTTGATACATGGTGAAAGTGAAGTAGACTCTTTACTGTGTATCAAGCACATGAATAGTGTAGATAAAAGATGTCAGAAAGCAGGAACTCATTGTTTATTGATTGATTTGATCATGTGAGTACACTGTCACCATCTCCATACATGCTAGAAGAGGGCATCAGACCCCATTACAGATGGTTGTGACCCATGTGGTTGCTGGGAATTGAACTCAGGACCTCTGGAAGAGCAGTCAGTGCTCTTAACCGTTGAGCCATCTCTCCAGCCCTAAACTCAATACTTTTGAATGGAGATACCTTTAAAGCATGATAGCTATTTCAACAAGATAAACTAACCAGTTAGCTCAGCTTACTTATAAGTTTGATTCCTTTGAAGCATTCTACCTTAACTAGAAGAACTTGATAAAGAATAATAAATGAAAATATCTTATGAGGCTGGAAAGATGGCCTCAGGTTAAGAGCACTCATTGCTCTTTCAGATGACCCAGGCTCAATTCTCAGCACTCACATTACAGCTCACATCTGTCTGTAACTCCAGTTCCAGGGGACCCAGTGCCCTCTTCTGTCTCCACAGGCAGTACATGCACACATGCACAGACATACATACACGCAGGCAAAACACCCTTACACATAGGATTAAAATACTTTTTCTTAAAAGAAAATACCTTATTTTCTATGTTTTTTATTTGTTAATAAAAGCAAGATCAAGGTTCAAGTAAACTGTCTATGTTTGCTTTTTCTAATAAGAGCAGCTAAAGAAGCCTATTAGTCAGCCACATACATGCCCAAAAATATAAGACTCTCTGTGTCCTGAGGACACACTGCAGTGTAGGTGAGGGATGAGATGGGACAGGTGAAAGGATAACTAAAACTGTAAGGTGTGTTAGCCTGGAGCCCGTCAGTGTAGTGGAATCCCTGAGGCAGGATACTGAAGAGGTCTGCAGAGAAGGAGAGGCCTGAGCCTGTCACTCTGGAGGTCCGAGGATGAGGGATCGCATCCAGTGATAGCTGTCTCACTGCCATCCAGAGGAGCTGCAGGACAGCACAGGGCACAGTAGTCACACTGCTTGTTGTTGGGACAGAAGTCCTGACAGAAGCAACTTAGGGAGAAAGGATTGATTCTGGCTCATAGTCTAAGAGTATGGTCCTTCATGGTAGGGAAGGCACGGTAGCAACAGCAGTTTCAAGTTGTGACCTAAGGAATTTAAGTTATTTGTTCATTTCTCATTAGAGCAGGAAGCAGAGAAAGGGAAAGCCAGTATTCAGCTGGCGTGTTTATGTGCTCAGTGCAGGACATGGGCACTCCGTTTCCCAGTAGTCTTAACTCACTCAGGCATCCCTTCAAAGCTACAAAGTTGCAGCAACCTGAGCTGCATAGTGAGAGCATGTCTGAAACCGATAACCAGTGGTGGGGTAATGGCTGGGAGGGTAAGAACACTTGCTACATGACCATGAGGACCTGCTTTCAAGTCCTCATTACTCAGGTAAAAAAGTTGGGCATGGCCATGTGTGACCTGAAGCACTGTCAGTGCTTGACACAGGAGGGATGGTGAGATTACTGACCTAGCACTAGGTACACTAAGGGACCCTATCTCAAAGGAATAAGGCAGAGAGTAATAAACAGGACACACAGTGCTGTCTGCCATCCGCGTATATGCCTGCATGCATGTACACACACAACAACAAGAAGAAGTACAAAGTTCCTAGAGTCAAGGCAAATTCCTTTCATCGATAAAGTCAAAATGACTTTGCTACTTGCACTATGAGGTGACGGCACAGCCATTAGGTATCTTTTTATTCCAAAAGAAGCAAAAGTGGGGAATTGGCTCAAAGTCCCAGGGAGAGGGGCAGTCAGTTTTGTTGGACATTGCCCAGTTGACTGCTTGCTAATCATGTTGCTGGTTGCCCTGTGTGTTTCTTGGGTCGCTACTACAGCTCCACTCCAGCTTCTCCAGTGTGCGTCATCTCACTGGGTTCTCATTGCAGGGGCTCTGAGCCTGCAGCACATTTCTGCTTGGCCTTCTCTGAAATCTTGGCTGATGCTCTCATGATCTTAAGAGTCTTGCATTTTGCATACCTGCAGAATCATCACCACGTAGATGGCAGAACAATCTGCCTCTGATATGAACTCTGATTCTGCTTAAGCTGCTGCTGCAGCCACAGAACCTCACCAGTTGGACAGGGAGACAGATCCTGAGCTGGTCCTGTAGAGTAAACCAGCAGAGAGCACCCTAGGCTCAATTCCTGAGACAATACTATCCTGAAAAATCTCTTGGCCTATGATGGGGTTGGGGGTAGACAATTTGGGAGGTAGACTCAAGACTTTTATAGAAACCTCATAATTAACATTCTTGCCAGTATCTAACAGTCTGTCTGTGGACCTTCCTTAACCTTCCTTAGTCACTTTTTCTGTTCATTCCTTGGGTAAACTGTGAATTTGTTAATCTTCTATTTCCTTTTGCTTCCAACACTTACTATAAATCCAACAGTAACCAGTAACATTAACATTATAACCCATATATTTTATTGTTTTGAAATTTCTCTGGCCAAATAAACTAGTCCAGCATTCCTAATTTCAATCTTGTCTTAGCATATGACTTTAGTGTGGTCACATTCTTTATAACAGTATAATAATGATTGCTCCCCCATTTTCCCATCAGATTCTCCTTTCTGTCCAAAATTAGTTTCCTAGTTTCTTCCTCTTCTGAACTCTTACCAGAACTTTCAATTAAGCTTCATTTATAACGTTTGAAATTTCCTAGCCTATTCCTTCAAATTCTTCTAACCTTTTCTAGTCACCAGCTCCAAAGCTGCCTCCTCATTTTCAGGTATAGTTACAGTAACAATAATTACATATAGTTATGGTATACATATAATAATACAATAGAATACAGTATACACACAATAGTTGCATATAGTTACAACTCTACAGTAACTTCCGGTACCAATTTTTTATGTTAGTCTGTTCTTCACTCTTATAATGAAACCCTGAGGCAGCCTAACTTTATAAAAGAAAACATTTAGTCCCATAGATTTAAGAGGAAGACACTGGCATTGGCTCAGTTTAGGTGAGGATTGCATGGCACGTAGCATGCCTGTCCTGTTGCTTTTCTTTCACACTCTAATAAAATAGTCCTTGGATTTAAAGAAAGAAAAGAAAGGGCAGAGGAAGAAGGAGGAAAGAGAAAGAAAAAAAACTTCTAAAAAGGATGCACTGTAGTTAGTGCTCAAGAAAGGCTGAGCATAATGGGTGAGTGTAACAGGGCGTGGCTCACTGGTGGGGCATGTGCTTGGTATTCACAGGGCCATAAACTCAATCTCTAACACCAAAGGGGAAATAACAGATTATTAGCTATGGTAATACTGCAATTGGAGCTATGTCTAATTACTTACTACATGTAGTAGCAACTACCTTATTAAATCTAGCTCAGGAGTACACAAAGGAAATTGGCCTTGAGTGTTTCGTGTTTGAGCAGTTACAAATGAAAACCAGAAATCACTGGCCCAAGTTGTATTAGTCTTAGACTTAGAGAAGAGATGCTGTGTTTGAGAGAGAAACTGGATACAACTTAACCAAGCATGTTGGGAGACAGTGTCAATGTGCATGTGCTTTTTGGAAGTGGCAGGGAACAACAGGGCTGTCACGTCTTTAAGAAACCCCAGAAAGTAGTTGATGGATTCTGCATGCTACCCTTGTCGGTAGTTGTACACACTGGATATTACGGTAGATGCAGTCTGTAGAAATCACCTATCGAGTGCTTCATTCTTCTAGAGATAAGGATTAAACCCAGTAGAATTGAATTGACTCAGTCAAATAGGAATGTGTTGTACAATTACCTTTGCCTTACATTATGCTCGACACTTCTAGAGATATTTTATATGTGGATCTTATAGACATTTGGATAGATTCTTTGTCTGACATGTGGTCTCTGTTTTAATTTATAGCTATATTTCCAGCCCCTGTGCTTCCTGGTGCACTTACTGTAGATAAAGAGAGGTGGAAGGTGGAAAGTAGTTAACTAGATTAGACAAATGCCACATGTATATAGTCTGTGTAGGTGCATAGTAAGTTGTTCTTTGGCTTTGTAATGTGCCTCATTTCCTAGCACAAGGACTGTTTATATAGAAGGCACTTTCTGTGATTTGGGTATAGTTTTTCCTCTAAGAACATGTGTTAGAGACTTGATGTCCCCAGGATGGCAGTGGGTGGGTAATGATGGAGAACCTTTAAGAGGTATGGCCTTATGGAAAATCCTCAGTGGGCACCGCCTCAGCAGGGTTAGGGTAGTTCCTACAGGACCCTTCAGCTCTTACAGAGCAAACTCTGGAGCAGGCCTGACCCTTGAATCACTATCTGGCTTTTTATTTCTCGATATAAGAAGATTTCCTCCTACAAACACCCCTGCCTTTATGACATCAGTTGCCACTCAGTAGCAGTAGGAGTAGGTAGGATCACCTTATCTTGGGCTTTCAGTCTCCAGAACTGTAAACTAAATAAAACACCTTTCTTCATTATGCTAGCATGCCTTGAATATTTTCTTTCTATAGTAACAGAAAATGAGTCAATATATCATTTAATAGAAATCACTTGGATTCATTCATTTCCCCTTTAAGTCAACAAATATTTGTTGGATTCATATATATATGCGTGCCTCTTCCAGGTGCTTAGAAGAGACGAAAAAAGAAAGGGGAAAAACATCCCTATGAAACTTACTTTTTTAAAAAAGATATTAGGATAAGCATTAGAGTTAAGAGAGAGATGCTCAGAAAGATACATCCCACATCCTGGGTGTATGCTTCTTAACATGTGCTTAAGTGGAAATAGGCACACAATAAATATTTACTATACCAGGTGGTCAGAGCTGAGAAGGATTGTAGAAGAGCGTCAGTGAGAAACAGAGTATTAAAGATAGTGAGGGAGGGGTGAGGGAATGGTTTTTCTTCATTGAAGAGAGACCCTTGGGGAGGAAGAAAAAGGGGAGGAGGGAGAGAGAGAGGGAGAGAAGGAGGGAAAGAGAGACCTGTTACTGTAGATAGCATTAGAGAAAAATACTTGGTGAAGAAAGGTTACCTCTCCCCCCAAATGCTTGGATTTAAGTGTTTCAGATTTATAATATTTTTAGATTTGAGGATATCTGCATAGATATACAGAAAGATACCTTGCAGTGAGATCCAAGTGTAAATACGAAATTCATGTTTTGTATGTACCCGTTCCCTAGACCTTTAAGATAATTTACACATTCTAGCATCCTTTTACTTAACCTATCACATGAAGTTCATTTTCCTTGTCACATGCAGTTTCTGTTTGTGGTATCATGTCAGTACTCAAAGGTTACAGATTTTGGAGTTAGTTATATTCAACCTGAAATAGCCATTATAAAATTAAACAACTAAAATGCATAAGTACAGATTTTTAAAAATTAAATACCTATTATGTTTGTGGTATCATGTCAGTACTCAAAGGTTACAGATTTGGAGTTAGTTATATCCAACCTGAAATAGCCATTATAAAATTAAACAACTAAAATGCATAAGTACAGATTTTTAAAAATTAAATACCTATTATGCTGTTAGAATTAAGAGAATTGAGAAGTCAGTGTGGCTTGGGCCACTGAGGAAGTATGTAAAAGAATAGGAAAGCATGGGTGTTAGTGTGTGGGGAGTGTGGGGGGAGGAAGATGCGTGTGTGAACACATCCACACATATGTACAGGGCAGAAGACAGGACAACCTCAGGTGCTCCATCTTAGACACCATCTACTCTCTCCCTCACTCTTCCCTGTCTCTCTCACTGTCCTGAAACTGGCCAACTAGACCAGGCTGGCTAGCCCCAGAATCCTCCTGTCTCTCCTTGCCCCCATGCTAGGATTACAAGCCCATGCTACCTGGGTTTTTTTCCTGTAGTTTCTGAGTATTGAATCAGGTCCTCAAGTGCACAAAGAAGCGCTTTACTGGGTTTACAACCCCCCTTTGCTCTTGGACTCAGCCTCGCTCTGATGGGGCTAAAGCAGACTTTGACCTTTTGTCATCATCTCTCAGCCTTCCATGCACATGGGTCCTAAACCTCTGCTGTCATACCCAGCAAGAAAGAGCAACGGGACATGGACTGCAGATTCAGTCTTGCTAGACACCAGAAGCACTGCAGGAGCTGCAGTAGCCAGGAAGCACAGGGAAACATGTTTCTATCCAAACAGAACCTTACCACACATGGGAGATTATTTGAGATCTGGTTATGGCTGGTTATGATGATGGTTTATTTCATTTTATTTGGACGCTCACAGTTGTTTCTGTTTGCTACTCTTACTAAAAGCTTAAGTATAATTCCTTCTAAGACTGACCAGTTGTCTGGTGCTGTTCCCATGCATCCCACACCCTCCATTGATGATGCCTTCTTTCCCCTTTCAATCAGGTGTTACCACCTTTGAGGGATGTGACAAATCGCCCGGAAGTTGGCTCAACCGTGAGAAATAAGCTGGTGCGCCTCATGACACATGTTGACCTCGGAGTCAAGCAGATTGCTGCTGAGTTTCTTTTTGTCCTTTGCAAAGAGAGAGGTAGGTTAAACTCTCTTTGCCTTATATTTTTTATCTTTTGCAAAAAATTTGAGAAAATTCCCTGTTGGGTGTAGCATTGCAGTCTTTGCAGAGCTGACTGCTTACCTGCTGGTAAGAGTGGCTGCACAGATGACCATGAGTAGGAATTGGAATCCTTGTTATGTGTTCCCCAAGTCCCCAGGACATGCAGACATATACTCTCCAAAACACATTTATCTATTATCTGACCTTTGCCTATGTGGACTTAGCCCAGACCTTGTGGTGTCTGGCGCTTGGGAGCCATTGTAAGACGCCTGCCTTGATCCTGAGAGCCATTGTAAGACGCCTGCCTTGATCCAGGTGCTACTGTTCTAGACACCAGTGTGATTCTTCTTGGTTCCTCTGCTTCCTCTCAAAATCCCAGGAAACGTTTGGTTTCCTCACTGACTCGTCAGTCTGTGGTCACAGAATGTTACTCGTGTGATATCCTGATAGATGTCTAGAAGTCTATTAAGGTGTGGCCTTTACCCTTGAGATAACAAATAATATTTCTTCTTCATATAGTATCTTTGTATAAAAATCGCATCTAAGCTGATTTTTTTTTTTTAGTGTGGAATAGAGTTTATTTAGGGCATGGGAAGTGGGATTGAGGAGGGAGGAGGATAAAGAAGGTCAGAGGGGGGAGGGGAGAAGAGAAGAGGAGGAGAGGCCAGCCAGGAACATGTGTGTGTGTGGAGGGGGAGGTAGAAGGGACAGGGGGAGAGGGGGCAGAGAGTAAGAGGCTGAGAGCCTAAGCTGATTTTTATTTCACTTTTTCAAAGACCCCTAGTTTTGTGAGATAGTTAAGAGATGAAAAACACTCCTCTCAAAACATCTGTCATCTATCTATCTACCTATCTATCTATCATCCATCTATCTATCATCTATGTATGTCTTCCTGTTTATCTGTCTATCTATTTCTCAGTGCTGGAAATTGAACTTAGGGTCTTGCACATACCAGTCAATTGCCCTCAAAATCTTAAATTTTCTGAATTCTTAAACTTTGTTTCTGACTTTTTAGTTCAACCAGTTAGGTTCCTATAAAAATGGTACATTATTAGTAACATAATTGAAGTGTTATTATAATGTTGATAACAGTTTTTAGCAGTGACAGGTGTCATGTGCTTGACATTCTTTCAAACCACTCCTAAACCACTGAATTCCCGCAAGGACACTCTACTGGTAATATTGCTTCACTTTAGCTTCTTTTGAACTATTAACTTCTTCCATGATTTGAAAAAAGATTGACTTACATCTTAAAATCAGATGGTTATCATAGTTCCTCACATGTGTTGCCAAAATAGTCGCTGATTGAATCTTCCTAGATCAAAAATGAGCTCTGTGGAGGCTGGGGAGATGGGTTAGTCAGTTACGTGCCTACACGATGGTCTGAATTGGAGGGAAGGACGGAGGGAGGGTGGATGGGTGAGTCGGTGGGTGGGTAGACAGATGGGTAGGTGGGTAGGTAGCTAAGCCAGGCTTGGTGGCACACTCTTGTAATCCCAGCAGTGGAGAAGCAGAGATAGGAGGATCCCCGGAAGAAGAATCTCTGGTGCTTGTTGAATTAGTTCAGTGTCAGGCCTCAGGCCAGTGAGACTCTACCTCAAAAGACACTGGACAGCGTTTCAAAGAAATGACGCCTAAAGCTGTTGTCTAACTTCCACAAACTCATGCACACACATTTGCACCAATTTAAAAAAGCATATGTGTGTGTGCCCATTAAACGAAACCACACATACATGTTGCCCATTCACTTAAAACTGGGTGTCAGAGCTGGGGAGATACGCAGCACGAGAGCCTGAGTTCCTACTCCTCAGACCCCATGGAAGGTGGAGCACAGCTGTGTGTGTCTGTAATCGAAGGGCTCCCACAGGAGGACAGGAGGAGACGTGAGACCTCCATGGCAGAGGCCAGCCGCCTGGCTCACCCAGTGCAAACAAGAGACTCAGAAAGCAGGGTGGGCTGTGGGGACAGTAGCTAGCTGAGGCTCTTCTCTTACCTCCACGTGTGTACTATGGCACACTTGTCTGCATTCACACACCCACAAAGGTTTTCAGATAATTACTGTATTAGTAGTAGTAGTGTTACTTTTGACTAAGAAGATTGCTGGTTCTTTATAGATTTTTTTTTTACAATGAACACACATTTCTTGTATATGTCTTTAAAATTCATATATGAGTATGTATCTAAGGACGATGTCACCTTACCTGTGAGTCAGTGCATAGCAAATGCAGCACATACTTTGCAAGTGAGTTCTGTGGTTATTTTCATTTGCGAGAGTTGGCATTGTTCCTCCTAGGATATCTAGTGCTTGGGAAGTTTTATAATACAGCTGGACTCAGACCTAGCCTAGCTCAGCACACTAACACTTGTGTCGTTTGGTTTTGGTTTTTGAATTTTTTTCAATTAAAATTTGAAACTTCTCAGTGTAATCAATCTTACTAGACATGTATGCATGTATTCTTGGAATAAAATCTATTCATCAGAGGGCTGGTGAGATGGAACGGTGGATAAAGGCTCCTGCTCCTGACCTTCACCACCTGCATTTGACCCAGGAGTCTACACAGTAGATACATAGAGATCCGACTCCTGCAGGTGACCTCAGACCTCCATGTGTGTGCAAGCACACACGCTAATTAAAATAAGTAAATGAGTGAATAACCATGATGAATATCTTTCAATTCATCTATCTGAAATGTATTTGTAAGCTAGACTCAGAAGTACACAGGACAGAATTTTTACCCTCATGTCATTTCCCTGCAGCAGCCAAGCCCTTAGTAATGAAGGTACCCGCAGTGTCCATGCAAAATGACAGATGGGAATTCTCCTTCACAGCAGTCTGTTGCTTGGAGAGCAGAGGACTGCAAGAGTTGGCACAGAGGCCCTGCTGTTCAGCTGCAACTCACTGCTGCCACTGAAGAGCTGCAGACTATCAAATAACTTCCTTCTAATTACTAGAAATAGATTCTTCTCTCATACAGCACTCTCAACCACAGTTGCCCCTCCCTCCACTCCTTCCTGCTCCTACTTCTTCCCATCACCCCCAGATTCACTCCCCCTCCATCTCCCGTTAGAAAAGAGCAGGCCTCCCAGAGATGACAACCAACCATGACAAAACAAGCACAGTAAGACAAGTCAGAAGCCCTCATGTCGAGTCTGGACAAGGCAGCCCAGCTGTAGGAAAAGAGTCCGAAGGGCAGGTAGGAGAGTCGGAGACACACCCACTCCCACAGTTCGGAGTCCCACAAATGTACCCAACTAACAGCCACAGCATATACACAGAGGACCTGGTGCCGACGCCTGCAGGCCCCGTGCTTGCCACTTCAGTCTCTCTGAGCCATGTGAGCTCTGCTTAGCTGATTCCGTGGGCCATGTTGTCCTGGTGTCCTCTATGCCCCCTGACTCCTACAATCTTTCCATCCCCTTTTCCTCTGGGATTCCCCGAATGGCGAGGGGAAGTACCCAGTGAAGACTTCCAATTTAGACTCTCTCCATAAAATCTGGCTGTGGGTCTCTGCATCTGCTTCCAGTGTCTGCTAGAGGAAGCCTCTGTGCTGACAACTAGACAACGCACTGATCTCTGAGTATAGCAGAATACCATTAGGAATCATTTCATTGATTGATTGATTGATTGATTGATTGATTTTTGCCAGTCATGTTGGGTTCTACCCTAGCTCTCTGGGCTACTCAGTTTTTGGTTCCTGGCCATCCAGGCAGTATTGGGCATGCGCTCTATCTCATGGAGTGAGCCTCAAATCAGAATTGGTTGGCTACTCCCGCATGTTCTGTAGCACCATTCCCTAGCACATCTTCTTGGTCAAAGGTTTAGTGGTGGGTTGGTCCATGTTTGTTTCATAGCCCACAGAGTACCTTCCTACACCCAAGAGACTAGAGTGTAGGGGTGAAGCCTCCATGCTGGCACCAGTTTGACCTCTCCATGTTCAAAGCACATGCAGGTGTTTATTTTTTCTTGGTTTCTTTAGGAGATTTATTCATTTCCTCCAGTTTGTGTTTTCCTGGCTCTCTTTAAGGGATTTATTCATTTCCTCTTTAAGGACCTCTATCGTCTTCGTATAGATGCTTTGAAGGTCTTTTTCCTGTGCTTCTGCTGTGTTGGAATATTCTGGTCCTGTTGTGGTAGCATAGCAGGGCCTCAGTAGAGATGTGTTGCCCTGGCTGTTACTGTGTTCTTAAGCTGGCATCTAGGCGTCTGGGTTTAGGGTGATTATATGTCTAGGTGCCGATTTCTGGATTTGTCTTTGTTGAGTGGCTGTTTGGGTCTTTGGTTTCTGTTTCCTGTCTGGATTTTCAGAGTGTGATGGCTGTGTATTGGTTCTTTTACTGGTCTGCTAGGCTGTGTGTTCATAGGGAATCCTTGCTGGTGTTGGAGGCTGGGATACAGTGATGAGTCAGAGGAGGGAGGTCTGGAGGGGATGGTATGGGGTCCACAAGAGAAGTGGACAGGAGGGAGGCCACAGCTGCTGAGATGTTGCTGTGCCAGAGAGGAGAGTAAGGGATTGGCTCTAGGGAAACAGAGAGTGGAGGTCTGCAGCAACCCAGCTGTTTTGCTGGCAGGTGTGACCTGCAGTTGAGCCTGAGGTATCTGCTTGAGTTGGGGCCTGGGATACAGCAATGAGTTGGGGGAGGGAGGTTAGGAGTGATAGTCTGTGGGATCCATAGGAGATGTGGGCGGGGGGCCATGGGGGGAGTGCTGTCCTGGTGTTCTGGTGCAGCAGCTCTAGGGATACGCCTAAGGGTTGGGTCTAAGGGAACAGAGAGGGGAGAAGGTCCATGTGCAGGTCAAATCACGTCAGTCACAGTAGCTGCAGTGTCTCTTAAAGATACACACAGCTATGTGCAGTGTGAAGGGGCTGTAGTCTGTGCTCAGACCACAGAGGAGAGCAGTAAGTAGCAGTCAGAAGCAAGAACGGCAAAGTCCTAACAGACAGACATGAAAGGAACACCAAGGTGTCTTAAATACC